ACCTCTCTAACATTAAGGAGCAACTTAGGTGATTATTAAAGCAATATGGGCAAATGTCATTAACAAACGGCTTAAAATAAATGCCACATATACCCAATTTTAAAAATGCATCATTACTCAAATACTCACTGTGAACTATGTACTTGGTCGCTAAAGTATAATGCTGCTACTAAACTTAAGAAGTAACATGAACAAATAATTTATGTGGCTAATTCAAATAATAAAATGGGATGAAAGAATCCTAAAACCAAAACTGTATCAAAGAAAATTGCACCAAAATAATAAATTATAAAATAAACAATTTTGATTACATTATAAGCTGGGAGAAGTGGGAGGATTACATTCAGAATTCTAGCTGGGACAGGGACTGAGAGAAGTTCAAAAAATGACTAAGTGACACAGACAGACAAATTGAACACCTAAAGGAAAGGACAAATTAAAGTTCACAGCACACTACAGTATAGTAGCATCCTCATGCAAAGTAGGAGTCTTCTGAAGTCAGAATAATAAATACGTAATAACTAAAATCCTGGGTAGTTCAAACCAACAATCCAGCTCACTCCTACATACTCATTTTAACACTTTCAGGTTAAAAAGGTCTTTAAAAATTAAAATATAATCAGAAGGTATATTTATCCCAGTACCAATATTTGAAATGAAAGCACTGCTTTCATGATTAAAATCATCTGACCACACGTTAGTCGTCTTCCAAATGTATTTAAATGCAAATAATCCCGTTATTCAGAAATTCTTCTAAAGAAAAACATAAACCTATCCAGGTCAGAAGGGTGAGACCATAGTTATCAAAGAACAAAGTTATATATCAGACACATAGTTTGTTTAACACTTTTCTCACATCTTGAAAATATATATATATATATATTCGATTACGTTAAAAAGAAAAAAAAATTCTTACTACTTTCTACTTAAAATAATGCAGTGTCAGTAAATAAGCTCAAAAAAAGGGGAGACAATATTTACTGGCCAAAGACAGCTAGGGAAAAAATGGATAATTTCAGAAATGAATCTGTGGGAAGAGCCTGAATATAAATGGTTAGGCTTAATAAAGCCTCTCATGATGAGGTTACACAGCACTTCCTTTTATGGTATGAGGGGCTAAGGTTACTGAAAACATAACCAAACTTTAAGGAAAAAATTTTAATAACATAATATTTACTTAAAGGCAGGTCCCTATCTTCATCTTTATATTTTGCCCCAGCTCGCAGAGGATTCTGTCTAAAGCAGGTATTTAAGTACTTGAATAAATCACAGGGACAGGGGCAGGTGAAGGCAGAATGTGGCCTCAAACATGGACTGTTTCTAGAAGTGACTTGTTTCAGCAAGCAACATGTTTACAAGCACACTAAGACAAGGCATTAATTTGAGACCGACACGTATGTACCAGAGTTTAATGAACATTTCATGAAACTTGTTGCTTGAAGAAAAATTTCAAAACTACTCTCTTACAGTTCTAAACCAAACACGAGATGTGGCAGATCTCTGAAACCAAAGACTTAAGGCTCAGTGTTGAGTGACACTCCTCCTGAACTACAGTGAAAAACTCTTAGATGACTTTTACCCAATTAGTCAATCCTCCTTCTGCTTTTAGAACTTTAAGACAGATCTAGCACGATGAACCAATTGTGACCAACCACCAAAGGTTGCCACGACCTGAGAGATGGGAGAGAAAGGAGGTGACCCCATCACGTGTTCAGATTCTTGGTGAAAAAGGAATAGGATGTGGTGAGGGGGGAGGGAAAGAGACATTTTCATTCCTCAGGTGTACGTTTTTCTTTTTCTTGCCTGGCCACAGCTTAAGACTGACGTTGCAAGCTGGTGGCCTGTAAGCACGCTTTGTTCTGATTAGTACTTTCCAAGATTCAAATTTAATTGCCATTATTTGACCAGCAGGAAATTTCACATAAAAACCCTGATTTCTAGGGTCTCACAGAATCAGAAGACCTGGCACACCCAGCCCGGACAACAACAAACGGCCCGGGTTGTGGCTGCCTCTTTTCGCCAGGGCCTGTCACAGTCCCCGCGGCTCTTACTTCTTTTACTTGGTCACCTTCGTTCGTTCACATTGCCTGTCCAGACCCTTAGGCACTTAAGTTTTGGGCCTCTACCCCCACCTACCTTACCTACACCCTTTTGTAAACTAGGAGAAACTTCAGTTCAGAAGCCCTAAATGTCCACTGCACTTCCATAAAATTCCAGGAACCAGGAAGGAGTTCTCTGAAAGGTACACTGGTTTTCCTCTTTATCTTTTTCATTTATTCCATTCTTGGTTACTAGTTGTCAGTGATGTATGCTGACATTACCATTAAGTTACTTCTAGTTTGTAAGTAGATAGGACAAAATGTACTGATTTCTCTTCAAAGATCATTGTACAGAGTAATTTACTATAAACAAGCTCATCCATTAATTAATATACACCCAACCTATTTCATCTGGAAACTGACTAAATCAACCCAACAATAAAATTGTCACTAAAGGTGCGGACAATGTATCAATCTGCAATTATGGACACTCAAGATCTTCCAGAATAAATAAAATAGATGGTTTGTGATTAGCAATTATTAGGAGCTAAGGCGGGTTCAACAAGAATAAGACACTAAATAGATGTCACTTCCTATTCAGGTAAAATGACTACACTGGTAGGTCAGAGGCATGTGGTGGAAGTTACATATTGACTCCAAAAAAGCCCTCCGTGAAATCTCTTGTAAGATAATAAGAGAAAATGTAGACTGGATAATAAAATATTTTTAATTTACAGAACAGTCTTTCCCCAAGAATTTTAAATCCGTGTCACTGGCAAAAGAGTTCTCCAGTGGAATACTTTTGGGCTTGCTGGCTTCGGCGCCCTCTCTCTCTCTCTCTCCAAGCTCCGGGTATTCAACATTATTTTTTATCAGTAACTTGAAAGATAAGACATATCTACCGAATTTGCAAATAACACAATGCCGAGAGAGATATATAATGGGACAAATGACAAAAATAATGTTTGAAATGACTGAGCTAGAACAAATGGATCAAAAAGAAGAATATGACATTTAATAGAGATACATACGTATCTGTGTTTAGATTCAGAGAGTCAACTAAAAATGTCAAGTACACAATTAGAGAGGAGGGGACACTGCCTTAACAGTACTTCATATTTAAAAAATCTGATTTCCATTAACCCCAAGATTAATATGCATCAACAATGGGATGGGGCTGCTAAAAAAGTTAACTCATGCAGCGGGCAGGTGCTGTCTTAACTGTGGAACAGGCCTGCCCACTGTTCTGGACTTGCCCCGTCACACCTGAGGCACTGCTCTCCATCCTCGGTGGCACCTCTTTTAAGAGGAACTCTGGAAACCTAAAGGGCTTTCAGATGAGAACAACCAGGACTGACGAGGTCACTAAACCATCTAATTTAAGAAAAGGCTGAAAGAAATGGGGATGTTCTACCTGGAGAAGAGAAAATTAGGGGAGACATGATGGCCGTCTTCAAATGTCTGAAGGATTGTTATGTTGAAGAGGGAGAATAGTCGTATGTTGTTCTAAAGGGCAGAACTAAAACTAAAGGAGAGAAAGTTATAGGGAAATCATTTTAGTTAAAAAATAAAGTTAAAAAGCAAAGGCAAAAGCAAAAGCAAAAACCCTCTCCAATGAGGAAAGCCACCAGCAGATAAGCAGTACTCTCCATGGGAAGGCTTTCAGGAAGGCATTCTAATGGGAGGTTAGGCCAGATGAATTCTGGAATCTCTTCCAACTCTACCATTTCTAACACCGGAGCTCCTGAATGTTGTTTGGTTTGAACTAGCCTTGTATTTTCTCAGTCTCCATGAGAGCATCTGTGTCATTACTTTACAAGAAGCCATTCGAAGGACAGAGGCAGAACTTTACCACCGAATTAGTGTGGCGGTCCCTTCAACAGCAGTCACCTGAGATGGCTGCATTCTTATTCCAGAGCTGCTAGTGCTCAAAATATCATCGAAACTCTTTTTAGAATGCCTTCAAGATCAGTTTCTGACTCACATAAAATACAGTCTCATTGTTTCATAGGCACATCTACTATTTTTGCTAGTGGACACAACCTATCCTACTCATTCGGTACCATCAGAGCCTAGCCTTTGTTGAGAGTCCAGTGCTAAACCAAAGAATGGACCCATTTCTAACCAAAATCTGTTTAGCTTCATCATCTGTCTTAATCAAGCCCAGCTCCTGATAACAGCTGAATGTCAATTTCAGAACACTCATTCATCTTCAGACACAAAACTTTACAGTAGATACAAAGTACACAGGCTCTTAAGTGTTCACAAAATGTCAATCTGAACAATGGAAGCATAACCAGAATAAGAATATACCTTCCAAGTTCATCACTCTAAAGGAATGTCCGTATCTTATATTTTTGTTTTTCTTTCCTTTTGAAAAAGCACATTACTTTCTAGGCATACTTCATGTTTTGGGCTCAATTATAAAGACCTCAAAAACTAGTTCTACCGATCCTTTTTTCTTTCCCATGATATTCCTTTGAATCCTTAAAGTTGGCTATTATCCTCATTTCCAGAAGCCATGCTCTTTCAAATAAACATTCCAGTACTTATACTAGAGAATTTTTTTTTTAAACCCAAGATACTGTTTTCATTACTATGGTTTTAATTAAGTTATATTAGTTGAGCGTAACATGCATAACATTTGGGAACAACGGGTCTGCTCCTTACCACAAAAATCCTAATCTAATTCTACAACTCTCAACCAAAAGATTGTAATCTCCCTATACATATTATCCTCTAATATGAAAAATACTTTAACTTCCTTCATGAAAAAGAAATTCAAAATCGTGTAAGTCCCCTAAAAACACTGTCACCACAGTAAGTATTTTAGTGGAAGTTAGTTGGGCATCAGTCGGCTTGTTGTCTTTGTAGTGAGTAGATGTATAATAAATAGTTATCAACTTTTTTTCTTTTGTATTTTAACAGAATGCCTGGTACCCAGTAAATAAAGTTAAGAACCTGTTAAGAACTGCAGTGAAGATTTTGTTCTTTACAGATTGCAGCAAGTCTGAGTTGAGGAAGTTCTGACAGATGCAAAATGTACACCTGTTGCAGGTGCACATACAGCGTAACCGGGCATGGCTGCGAAAACACACAGAAGGACAGGAGTTGAGTTCTTACTTACAAATATGGCACAAGTCAGGGTGTGCCAACTTAAAAAAAAAAAAAAGATTTAGGCATAAGCAACACTAAGGAAAAGGACAGTGTGGGGCATGCTAAAGTTGTGCAGAATTCCACGTTTACCAAAAATATAATAAACAGCAATAGCTCCCTCCTCCCTCCCTAGAGAAAATCTAAGGAAAATCAGCTAACACTTTTGGCTTTTTTTGGAGGGGGGATGGAATTATTATTACAAGAGTTTTAGTGGAATAAATATGCACAGCAATAGATGGCACCCTCATGTAAATTAATAAAAAGAAAAACCGAGTAAGCCATAGCACCCACCGAAAAGACACAGTTTGCTAGCATTTAAATAACCATTCCCTTCTCCTCCTCCTCCCTCAGCATACACACATGCCTGAAAACCAGGAAGGAGAAGAGCGACAAATACACAAAAGAGTCAAAAGACGAGTATATTCAACCCTGAGGAGATATGAACAACATCGTCTTTAATTCATCAAGCACCTTGGCTCCCAAAGGAAACCAAAGTGCTTCATAAATTTCCACTTGAACAAAATATAGGGTTGATTTCATCTGCTACTAAAACACAGCAGCTGAGTATGACAGTATGAAACTCCGGGTTCAGGTTGTAAAAATCAACAATGGGTCCGATTGATTTTAGAGATGAAATTTAGGGAGACTTTCTGGCTCCTTTCTGGTTGAGTGGAGTGATACTAGTTGGTACAGGCACATGGGGCAACCTATTTCACCTCCGTCCTAACCACCAAAGTAGGGGGTCTTCAATGACCGCTCGGTGGTCAGAGCACTCAGACACACAAAGCCATCACACCACCCTGAAGAGGCACTGGCGCAGAACCTGCTCAGAAGAGTGCCACCTGATGAATCAATGCCATCACTTCCTGTAACACCTGAACATTTTTTTTTAAAGGCTTCTCAGTCAAAGGACTGGCCCAATCTGACTTGGCTGAGCTTGTGAGATCTGATGAGACCACATGGCACGGTGGCATGGTTGTGGAGATTAGCAGCATCCCAACAATGCCTAATTCCCAACATGAAGAAAAACAAGAATTAATTTTTTTTAAAAAAACTCTTACAGACTCAAGACATTCCTTTCAAAAACCTGACTTGCAATGACGAACATCTCAAAGCTACTAAGTTGCTGCCAGCTGTCATACTGGAATCCGTCTGTTATTTTATAATTTGACTCTTCAACATACACAGGCTCCACCCACCAAAAAGGAGAGATGCAAAGTATGCTTAGCAACAGGGAGATGCTTCATGAGAAGTAGTTTGGGAGTCACCATCTACGCAAGTGTCCCTGTATGTACATTTATCATATACACACACATACACACGCACACAAATTGCAGGAAAATGTTTTAAAGATGCAGCTCTGAAAACACGGTCACAGCTATCTACAAGATTAATATAGCGCATTTACATAGTAAAACAAAACAAAATATAAAAAACACCACTGTAATATACAGTTAGGCAATAAGCCGGACCAAGCAGTGCGTTTCTGGATAATTATTAATGTTAATTCTGGCAAGAAAGGAGATCTGGTCATCTACAAGAAAATGTCAACAAAATCCCACAGAAGCCATAAAGAAAAAGTAACTTACAAAGCAGTTTTTAGAAAGACCCAGATTTTTCTCAAATTCTCTATCCTATCAGGGTTGCCCGTGTCTCGGGAGAGTCTGTCTCTGTAATGATCCTCTCTGTAGATAACATACACGAGAGTTTTAAAGCAAAGGTAAAACATAAATAAGGCTTTGTTTATCTTATAGTAATAGGAATGACTTGTCTTCCAATACAAATAGAATTTCAAGGGTTTGCTGCCTTTTTAAAAACGTATTAGTTAACAGAATAGCAGTTAAGTTGACGCTGACTTGAAAAATCTGCACAGATTAACACCTTCTGCAAGACTTCAGTTTATAGCCATGTTTGATTATTACTCTATTTTATATCCTAGTTTTCATAAGAAAATTATTTAGAGACTAAATTAATAATAAACAGATTAAGCTAATGTCCTGAGAAACGCACTGCCTGAAAAACTATCTTGTTACACAACAGAATTATACACACACAGTACTTGAGGAGAATGCCATTAAGAACCATGCACTTCTAAGGCAGTTAGTAAGCTATGAAGATGTCCACAGTTATGTGCTTATGCATATGCATGTATAGATATACAATAAATGTACATAAAATTCATGGCTCATTAACACTTAATGTAAAACATTTATATAGCAGGAATTCCAATCACAACTACTTTTTACAGCACTTAAAAAAGACATTATAGTCTGAACTCAAACATATCTATAATTTAATATAAATTCATATGGAAATGTTCATATGGAAATGTCCTAAAAGCATAAAGCAACATGATGCCAACCCCATTTTAATGCAGTTAAGACTTTATTTTTTTAATGCTGGGATTGGGGCTGAGTTTTATTGTACTATCCTATTAAGATAGTTACAGCCTGCTTAAAAATATACAAATACTGTCAGAAGCACTGTTTATGTAATTTTATTATGGCACCCAAACCAAACTCGCATTTATTCAAATTTGTACCTTCTCAGAACAAAGTCTCTTTCTGTTGCTGAACAACTTCTATGCGACAAAAGTTTTGCCTTCATGGCTAATAATGGCATGCGATGTTATTATGAACCATGCAACATGAAAATGATGGCAGAGCAAGTACTTACGGGTACATGGCCATTGTTGTCAATTTAACGAAGATATCTTTACTGGGTGCATCAGCAGTATTGCAAGTGAAGGCTTGTGGTGGAGGCATTTTGTGTTTCCTGCAGAAATCAGCAGGTGAAATACTATAGTCTTGTTTAACTTCATGCAGGTCTGACTTTGCAGCTACGATTAAGCAAGGTATTCTGCTGTCCATGAAGTGTTGCTATGGAATAAAAAATCAAAGGCTGATGACAAATTTAAAAAATCACTAAATTGAATTAAATGTGTACTAAAAATTATCTCTGCCTAGGCAAAGCACAGCTTCAAAGAGAAAGTAAACTAAGAGGCAATGATTGGCAGTGTTCTAGAGCAGTCTCGTAATAAGACCAGGGGCAATTCTCTTAACACTGGTAATAATACAAACCTATAACGATTCTTCAGATTCACTACAATTTGAAAAAATATATATTTTATGAAAAAGATACGATATTTTGAAATGAGAAATCCATCTAAATTCCTCTATCCTAAAGCACACTATTTTCATTTTATACATTTCTGCTTCACAGTTTGATTATTTTTTCACTATTTTCATTTTTTATGTACTGCTAGTCCTTAAGCACATGCATTTATAAACTTTTCTGTAGCTGCAAGTTATGTTGGACATAGTCATTTAAAAACACAACACTGAGGGGTGCCTGGTGGCTCAGTCTTAAGGTTAAGCATCTGACTTCCGCTCAGGTCATGATCTCGTGGTTCGTTGAGTTAGAGCCCCAGGTTGGGCTCTGTGTTGACAGCTTAGAGTCTGGAACCTGCTTTGGATACTATGTCTGCCTCTCTCTCTCTGCCCCTCCCGAGCTCACACTCTGTCCCTCTCTCTCAAAAATAAGTAAAAACACTAAAAAAAAAAAAAAAAAGCAATTAAAAATATATATAACACCGACTCTTCCATGTTTTCAGAATTCAAAATCATTATTTTCAATAGCTGCTTAATATTCTGCTCTGTTATTTTATCTTAATTTGGTAAACCACCCTTTATTGTTAGACATCTGGATTATTTCTAGGTTTTTTTAAAAAAAAATGTTTAACATTTATTTATTACTGAGAGACAGGGAGAGACAGAGCATGAGCATGGGAGGGGCAGAGAGAAGGGGAGACACAGAATCCGAAGCAGGCTCCAGGCTCTGAGCTGTCAGCACAGAGTCCCAACACAGGGCTCGAACTCATGAACCGTGAGATAATGACCTGAGCTGAAGTCAGACACTCAACCGACTGAACCACCCAGATGCCCCACTGGTTTGTTTTTGTAATGTTTACTTATTTTTGAGAGAGACACAGAGAGACAGATTGCGAGTAGGGGAGGAACAGAGAGAGAGGGAGACACAGAATCCGAAGCAGGCTCCAGGCTCCAGGCTCTGAGCTGTCAGCACAGAGCCCTACACAGGGCTCAAACTCACGAAACGTGAGATCATGACCTGAGCCGAAATCAGAAGCTTAACCCACTGAGCCACCCAGGCGCCCCTCTAGTTTTCTTTTTTTTATTAAAAACAATGCTAGAATAAATTCCTTTATACATATATTTTTTACTCCTATTGCATCTTTGTGATAATCTCAAAGTGACTGAGGACTTTTCAAGCCTCTGGTTATTCCCCTTGCTCTATTATTACTATTGGTATAACTCACTATATATATATATATATTTAATATATATATATTTATATATATATAAATATATATATATATAAAATATATATATATAAATATATATATATAAAACCCATGTGCATTTCTTTTTTTTTTTTTTTTAAGATTTCATTTTTAAGTAATCTCTACACTCAACATGGGGCTCAAACTCACAACACTGAGATCAAGAGTTGCATGCTCTATCGACTTAGCCAGCCAGGCATCCCTCCTTGCATATTCCTAACAGCCAAGAAGACCTTCCATTAATGCAAAGGTTCTTTTTTTTTTTTTTCTCAAATGTTTTATTTATACTTGAAAGAGACAGAGAGACAGAGCATGAGTGGGTGAGGGGCAGAGAGAGAGGGAAACACAGAATCTGAAGCAGGCTCCAGGCTCTGAGCTGTCGGCACAGAGTCCGACGCGGGGCCCAAACTCACAAGCCGTGAGATCGTGACCTGCGCCGAAGTCGGACGCCCAACCGACTGAGCCAACCAGGCACCCCTAATGCAGAGGTTCTTAAGTAGGAATGCCCATCAGAGGCACATGTGGAAAAAAAATTTTATAATACATGTGTCTCAGACTGTACCACCTCAAAATGAAACCAGAACCTGTAGGGATAGGACACAAATATACGTATTTTTAAAAGCCCCGCAAGTGATTTTCTTGCATCTCCCTGGTTAGAAAAACATCACATTACAATTCCATTTAACTCCATATAAAGTTAAACTACATTATCGACCAAAAGAACAACAAACCTTAAAAATCCTAGCACAGTATTCAAAGGATTTGGGGTTACTGACGTCATACACCAGGCACACAACATCACAAATGATCTCAGCCTCAGTTAGAAATTCCGATTCTGAGATATCATGCAACTTGTAAAAAGAGAAAGACAATAAACATTAATATCATAACAATGTTTACTTCAAGTCATGTGTTATTACTGCTTGACTTCCAAATAAGAAAGTACTAGGTAAGCATAACTTTTCAGGCTATTTTTAGAGGTGGGAAGTGTAGATAAATAAGTGGCTTCTGATTTTGTGGACTGAAAATGGTAATTAAGGTTTTACGGAAGTGCACATTTAGCTAGTGACCAATGTGTGCCAGGAAGGCCCTTTACACACATTCTCTATACAGATTAGACAAGCTATAGAGATTAAGTCAACTGCCCAATATAACACATCTACCAAGTTATCAGACCAAACTTTGAGCTCAGATGTGATTCCAAGTCTCTTCTCTTTCGAACAGACTACAGACCACCTTTTCTCCTCACCAATTAAAAAAAAAAAAAAGCAAAAACAAAAGCAGAGTAAAAGACTCTTTAAGGTCATTTTGTTTGACTTCACTGCCTACTCTCAATGTTTATTATAAAACCTCTAAAGAAATATCCCACCTATAATATGACAATGATCTAACTAGAGTAAAATTCAGTACTATTGAGTTATATAAGAGTGTATCTTTGATGAGACGAAAGGGGAGACACAGGGTCAGAAGCAATTCAATATATTCCAAATAAAACACTACTATAGCATGGGTATTCAGAGACATGAAAGATATCAATTTGCAAAGAACAATAGAAGAATAAAAACAGGAAAATTAACAGCCAGCTACAGAGTACCCAATGAGTAGAACTAAACTTATAGGAGAAGAATGAGAGATAAACCAGGTTTAATAAGAAACTGACAAAGAACTTTTATCATAAAGAGGAAAAACTATATAAAATTCAATGTGATCATCTGTCTGGCAGAATAAATAATTTCCAAAAAGAAAAAGAAAGCAAATGAACTCTTTCTGGTATCTATTATTTGTTAGGAGCTCCTCATATTAGCTAACTTAGTAAGAAACTCAGGCTCAGAGAGAAAAAGCCACTTGCCTGAGGTCACCCAGCTAATCAATGGTGGACCAGGGCTCCAACCAAAATATGACTGGATCCAAGAAGAACATATAATCTTTTACTACTGTATTTCATAGTATCTTTTCAGTCATATACTTCTTTCATCCGTTTTTTTGGACTAACACATTTGGTAACTATACTCCTCCCTGCTAAATAGATAAAACTCGATTCAGAGTATAGATAAACTACCAAAAGCACCCGCAGTAAGTTTTCATATTGATTTCTAGTCAACAGTAGAGGAAGAAACATTTTTTTAAATAAAAGTGGAAGAGGAAAGAAATTATTTTTTGTTGTTGGTTTTACTTTCTATTGTGTATAATACACAATTTAGCACACAAATAGATTTTTACTTATATCTACACCCATGTAATCACCACACACATCAAGGGAATTAAAATTAATTCCAATGAATAAACCAAGTGAAAGAAAAAAAAAATCACAAAAGTTCTAAAAACAGCCACTAAATTAAATCCAATTATGTTTTCAAAGTCATATAAAAATACACCTAATAATTAGTAATCTTTACGTGGCAGAGAATTTCTTACCAACAAGTATTTCTCTTGTCCGTAGACATAAACAGTGTTAATTGCATAGTAGGATTTATGATCATCACGAATTTTCTTCTGTCTCTGAAAACAACCAGAAATCTCAATATTTACAGGAAGCAATTACAGTATCTAGTTTTCACCAACACACACTCTGCATGTACCTGTGAGTGTGTTACAAATAAAAGGGCGTTCCTCCCTAAGCTATGTATTATTTATCCATACAGAGGGGACGTTGATTTTATGTTTCTTAGTTCTTAGGTCTTAAGGTGTTAGTTCTTGGTTCAGAAGATGCCTTTGTTCTGCACAAAGTAAAAGCAGGAGCTGAAAAGGAAGTAAACTACACCACTGCCAAGTGCACTGCAGAGCCACCTGCTAGCAATTCTCCTTACACTGTAATTTGGTCCGCCATGAAACTCGTGTGGAAATACATCCATCTCCGTACGCAGGGCAGTAGCCAGAATTAGATACAGTATTCAATTTGATGTATTTACGGTCCATTCACTTCAGGCCAAGCACTGTGTTAGGTGCTTTCACAGATGTATTCTATTTATTTAACCCCCCACCTAAACACTGCTTAGGAAAACAAAAACAAGAACAAAGGATAACTAACAGCAATGAAACCAAGATAAAGCCAGTTCAACAGGATTACTGTTACCCTTAGATTGCACTTTACTAATACATACAAGTTACGGACTGATCTGTAGCAATCATCTAAAAAAGTTAATGGCTATGAAAAAATTACGTAAGCTTGTGAGGATAAAAATTTGTTGGATAAAGCTCTATTTTCTGAGAACTCTCACCATTAAGTTTCTTCCAAGAAGAGCCTGAAGAACTCCACTCTTCCCACAGTTTTTCATCCCAATTACATTACATCTGAACACATTTCTTTGAGTTTGTTTTTTCTGAAGGTCTATCTTTTTATCTCTTGTTACTGAAAAGAAAAAAAAAAACTAATTATGTACCACTTAGACTCACTAAGCCCCCATTTCACATTCTGCAAAATATGGTATTGCTATCTATCATTTTTATGAAGTGTATGATTAATAAACATACTGTGCAACAGTCAAGCTGTATGGGAAATAAAGCACTAAATATAATACAGAAGGGCTTCACTTAGTGGAAAAGATGCATTTCTGAAAGTTGGCTCTAAAGTGATATTTATTTCATCATAAAATAAGTAGTACATGTTCATAAGGAAAATGATATCCAAAAAAACAAAGGAAAATTACAGTGAATACAGCCAACGTTATAGCCCATCTGTTTTTTTTCTATGATAAATGACTGTCATAACAAATGACAAATTAAGAGATGCTTTCTCCAATCTGCACTCTTTTGAATCTATAAACAGGAAAGGATATGCACTCTGGGCTTAAGTGGCCTTCCCAGTATAAATGTGTAAAAGAGGTAGGCCAGCTAGCAATGCTCCAACGGCAGAGCAACTGTGAATCTCTTCCAGAGGCAAAGAGACTTCCTTAAGCTGTACTCAAAAGTTCAACTCTAACAAAGCTCACCAGAGGCATTATTTAGAGTAGCCCCAAACTGAAAATGATACAACACTCACTCCCACACACACACTCCAATTAGGGGCTAGTTAAATAACTATTACAACATCCATATTTTGGTGCATTATATAACATTAAAGATTTATAGAAGTATACATATTAATACAGAAACATGTCCCCAATATTTTGTTAAGTGAAAGAACCTCATGCTAGCTAGCATTAGCTCCTTGCTCTTTGGTGCTGAATTAAATAACATTTAACTGGTTAACTACTTTTTTTTTTTTTAAGTTTATTTATTTTGAGAGAGAGAGAGAGAGAGAGAGAGAGAGAGAGAACACAGGTGGGAGAGGGGCAGACAGTAAGGGGGAGAGAGAGAATCCCAAGGAGGCTCCGTACTGTCAACGCAGAACCGGATGTGGGGCTCGAACTCACAAACCATTGGGATTATGACTTGAGCCTAAATCAAGAGTCTGACACTTAACTGACTAAGCCACCCAGGGGCTCCTGGTTAACTATTTTTTTTTAATGTTTTTATTTATTTTTGAGACAGAGAGAGACAGAGCGCGAGCAAGGGAGGGGCAGAGAGAGAGGGAGACACAGAATCCGAAGCAGGCTCCAGGCTCTGAGCTGTCAGCACAGAGACTGACATGGAGCTCGAACTCACAGACTGTGAGATCATGACCTGAGCTGAAGTCAGACACTTAACCGACTGAGCCACCCAGGCACCCCCCAGTTAACTACTTTAAAGGGTACCTGCTCTGTTGATTTAAGATTGGTTGTCTTCTTGTGCTGGAACTTCCTCCTGTAAGATACGGCATTTCCCCCCACCAATTAGGAAATAAGAAAATCTTGAGGGGTGAACTAGCCACGTGGAGCCTGCCTGGGATTCTCCCTGTCTCCCTTTCTCTCTGCCCCTCCCTGCTCATGCTCTCTCTCTCTCAAAATATATAAACTTAAAAAAAGAAAAAGAAAGAAGAAAATCTCAAAACAATCAGTTCCCTAACTTGTTATATCTGTTCCTATGGTATTCTTTAAGTGGAGCACACTGCTTAGCAAGAATTACAAAGTCTGTGAAAGATTTACTAATGTAGAAACTGGTTACAAAACCACAAGTTACACAATTAGTTCAATATCAGGATTACGTGTTAATAGGTACAGTTTTTAATGTCTACAGAAAATTAAAACACAAGATAAACTGGCACATTACAATACACTTAATGCCCACAGCCCTCCCTGATTTTCCTCAGTGGAGTATCCTCAGGGGGAAACTAGAAGTAAAACCTCTACCCTTTCTTTTTTGATAAACAATAAAATCTAGACTCTCGACTCAAATTACCAAATGGCAGGGAGAACAAACAGAGTGCAGACAGGGAAGACTAACGAAGATGAGTTTATTTTCACTCTTTTCACACATGAAACCGGAATAGTAAATAACGTTTCTAAGCATGGAGTGAGTAGTATTCAAATACGCACCTGTAATGGCTGAAGCTTGGGACTCTTGCTCGGTCAATATTGAATAGCCTAGATAGCCCAAATACTCCAGGCAGCGCTGGACGTCTAAATAGGTCGTGAGCCTAGGAAAGGGAAGAGGTGAAGATCAGAAAAATTCCTAAATGAACATTTACAGAAAAAAAAAAACAAAACCCAACAGCTTAAATATCTTATCACCAGACCCAGATAATTTTTGTCAGACTCCTTTAATTTCCCATGTGCCCAACCACAGTGTTTCCCTACACTGACATTCTCAAGGCAGAGAAGAGAGGGAGGGAACGCAAGATTGGCAGGGGTAGAATGGGATTCCTGTATCTACACACAGATGAGCAGTGAGACGCTGGTAAAATCTAGGGCAAGGATATTTTACATTATCTGCTTCCCAAGTTACACAGCATATTGCAAATACTGGCTGGTTGAGGATTTGATAATTAAATCCGAAGAGGTTTGCAAAGGGTGCAAAAATAACTTGAAATTAGCCCTTTTTGTGATGTGAGAAAAGAATAGGTCCTGGTGTTGAGAAACTTAGTCTCACCAAGGTTAAAGTAATAATGTCATCATGCATGACCAGAGGATGTCCTTAGTACCCTACATACAATGTCAACCACACTGTAAACAGACTGTAGATAAACCCTCATTAAAAAGTGCGTCAAGGGGCACCTGGGTGGCTCAGTCGGTTAAGCGTCCGACTTCAGCTCAGGTCATGATCTCACAGTCCGTGAGTTCGAGCCCCGCATCGGGCCCTGTGCTGACAGCTCAGAGCCTGGAGCCTGTTTTGGATTCTGTGTCTCCCTCTCTCTCTGCCCCTTCCAGCTCATGCTCTCTCTCAAAAATGAATAAATGTTTAAAAAAAAAAAAAAGTGCGTTAAAACAAACAACAAAGGGGCGCCTGGGTGGCTCAACTGGTTGAGCATGCAGCTTTCGAGTTCAGATTAGGTCATGGTCTCATGGTTCGTGGGACTGAGCTTTGACTTGGGCTCTGCACTGAGAGTACAGAGCCTGCTTAGGATTCTCTCTCTCCCTCCCTCTCTGCCCCTTCCCAACTTGCATGCACATGGGCACTCTCTCACAATAAATAAACACTTAAAAAAATTAAGAAAATTAAAAACAACCAACCAAAAAACCCTCAAAATTAAGTCTTCACTGTCAAGTAAAATATGCTCTCCCCATATTCTGGAAGTGTAAGAATTGTGTAACAGCAATGAGATTTCCAGTTCCCTTAATCAAAAAAGTATGACAATCTAGTTCAATTTTGATGTAAGACTTATTACTGCTTCCCTGTACATCAACCAAAAGCAAACACATCCCTTCCTGATAAATTGACAGAACGTCTAAAGTTCATCTTAGACACTGCATCAGCACTATAAATCCTGCTTACAGTTATGACTGAAGCATTTCGTAAGACCTGACAAATTTACAAAATGATGAATGTGATGCATCATAATTTTAAACAAGCTGTAACTCTAGAGGAGACAGGTGAGCTCTGTACTCACGTCCACTGGGAAAGAAATCCCTGGTAGGTTATCCAGCCTCTTTCATTTGTACAAACTGTGTTATTCACATCTGGCCCCCACGGTATGTAAGGGAAAACTTTAAACAAATCTTTAAGCTCATCAGGTGACAGAGCACAGTCTCTATCCTGAAGATACATAAGGAAGTATACAAAATGTTTAGATATGTAAGAGAATAATTCCCAAACATAAGAACCCCCAGTCTAATGAAGCTGTGCTTCTAAAAACAAATGGAATTTTACATTTTATCAAGAAAATTCCTCTCATGTACATAAGAAAACCTATACAAGAGTCTATTAGAATCTAGACTTTTTCATCTTGAGAAAATAATAAAAGTAAATAAATAAAAGAAAGTATTTTTGTTAGTCTAACTTAACAAGTTTGAGCAATTCTTGGCTATGTGACATGAGCATCCCCTAGCTAAGGAAACAGAGTTAAATCATTTACAGAAAAGTATTTTATTACAAATCATGGAAAACTGCAGCTAAGAAGCTTACCAAATCATGCTTGTCAAAGGTGCTTTGGAGAAACAAATATGCGTGATGATTTAATTCAGTAGTACAATCAGGAGGTATTTTTAGCCTGTAAATAAAAAAATTTTAAGAGTGAAATAGATCATTAACCAAACATTACAATTTAACTTAAGGAATGAATATAAAACTGCAACAAGTCTTTTTGTGGGATGATCACATTTATAAAGTATCTTTGTTGAAGCCATTTATTTAGACTTTCCCAGGGTAAGTCAACGGAGTGGGATGGCAATCCTCAGAAGAGCCATGATCATGTTCACTCTGAGCTAACACAAAGTTTTCTCAAATTTCTGAAGGGCAGGTTGAAATAAAAATTTTACAAGTAACACTGATTACACTGTAACGGGTTTGTTCTTCCCATAAACAAATTTTAAGTCATAACTGTTGCTTATGTCAACATTGTAATGAGTTAAAAATGATGTGAGGAGGTAATTATTTCTGCCTGATTTGACCTTTAAACATCTGAAGTTCAGTTCAATCAAATGCACTGAGCTAGGTACTAGGGACACAAAAACACAACAGGCTCCCTACCTCTACGGAACCCACATTCAAGTGGGAGACAGATCACAGACAACCTCACTGTTGCAACAGAATGAGGTGAGTGGTGGATATGGGTAAGCCAAGGATGCTAGGGGAGCCCACACAAGAGGGGACATCTCTGGCCCGGGTATGGGAAGGTGACAGCTGTGTTGGGAGACATCATCACCTGAATGGTGATTTGAAGGATAAAAGCTAGTAAGTAGAGTAAGGGAGAGAGAGGCAGAAAGTGAGACTACCTGGGCAAAAGCCTGGAGTACGAAACAACAGATGATTGGGGAACTAAAAATAGCTTAGTGTTTACTTCTAGAATGAAGGCAGGGAGTGAGCATGAGCACAGCAGATCATGAATGACCTTGTATAACATGTTAAGAAGCTTGAGCTTTATCCTGGCTCAAAGAGAAGTGACATGGGCAAATGTGTATTTATAAATCTATTAATCTAGCAGCAGTATGAAGGACAGAAGGAGACAGTTTAGTAAGAAGGCTAGAAAGATTCAAGTGGTGGCTTTACAGGGCTATTCTACAGAAAACGAAAGGCAAAGAGCCTAAAGAAATTGAGAAGATATTAGTGTGAACCACAAAGCCATTAGCAATGGCATTTTCTTACTGTCAAGCTTAAGAAAGCAGTAAGCAATCTCCTGTAAAATTTATCTACCCATGTTAATGGCACAGAAAACTTGACAAAAGATCCCGGGACAAATTCATTCATTCAATATATTTTTATTGAAAAATCTGGGAAATTACTTGAGCCAAGATTTACTAACTTTGACAAGAGAAGTTCCAACTTAGACCTAATGGACCAGGAATCCAGCTTGAAAGAACTTTGCTTTCTTGATGAGAAATGAAAAAAACAAGAATCTTTGTGAATCCTTACATAGAGAGCGAGGGGTGCTTTGCTAAAATAAAAAGGGACAATATGAAGACAATGTGCCATAGGGGGAAAAAAAAAAAGAGAGAGAGAAAGGCTAAAGACCCAAAAGGCTACATCTTAGGACATCACTTCCCTGAAAAGCCCACCTCCCTAGGGCACAGGAAAGGCAACCAATGGTAAGGCAGTCTCCTGTTTTAGGTGACACTGGTCTGTTTTTTAACAAACGCAACTTACACATAGCATTATCTACAGGAATATAACTACAAACAGGCTGGTTATTTAGGAAAAATACTTTTTTTACCCTGAGCTAAGAATAGGCCATAAAACTTAGAAGAAGGACCAATGAAAAGAAGTGAACTAATAGACTCTGACCTCTTGACTCCAAATGCAAGTTTGTCCAGCACCTATGATCTCCTTCCATAGTAAGATGAATAAAAAAAAAGATACTTATATTCTCCATGAGAAGAAGAGGAAAAGTTTATGCCATGCTATAAATCAGGGGCTCTCAAGTGGGGGTGATTTCACTCCTGAAGGAACATTTGGTAATTTCTAGAGACAACAGACATTTTCAGTTGTCACAACTGGGGGAGGAGGTGTTACTGGCAACTATGGATGTGCTAAATATTCTATAATGCACAGGGCAGACTCTATAACAAAGAACTGTCTAGTCCAACATGTCAATAGTGCCAAGGTTGACAAACCCTGCTGTAAACCTCTCTATAAATCTAAATTAGTCCTGAGTAGCTCAAAGCCTACCTAAACTGTGCACTAAATAAAACTTAAAATACTTGGCAAGCAAAATTAATTAGAAGGCCAAAGGTACATACAAGGGGAATAAATATTCAGGTGTCAAATCCAGATCATCATCATAACCAAATCGTCGAAGCACAGTCCAAGTAGTTTCGTGTCTCCCTCTCTGGATAAAAAGTGTGTGTAAAAAAAGAAAACCTGAAATAAAATGAATTAGTAAGTACAGCTGATGTGAACAACAGTACAAAGTCACATGGGAGAAAAGCACGTAACTCATAACGGCAAGAGTCAGATCCATGAACACATGCATAAAGCTTTGCATATGGAAGGTCAAAGCAAAATGCAGTTTGCAAGTCTCTGAATGAAACACAACAGATTTCAGAATCATTTCACATACATCCATGTCAACAAGAGATGCCAATGGATAAAAGAGCCAAAAATGAATCCTAAGGAATACATCGACATTCACAGTTATATGATAAAAATAAACGGAAGTCATTTTATTGCTCTTTGAACTTATTTCTGTAATGGAAAACTATGGTTTTCAATTTTGTTTATTTCACTGAGGCTCCAGAATACATTCCACAAGGAACATTTTCTACTCAGTAAATATGACTGGTAGACAAAATGTCTTCCCTAAAAATAATTTCTATCTAAAAGATGCCTTTAAGTAGTAAGAATTTTAAGATAAATTTGTTTGTCCCAGAAATCTCTGTCCATCAGATGGACCTCCGCATTCCTAAGAACCAAGCAATTCCCCCACCTCTAATTTATGCTGACAGTAAGGATGATTATCCCCACCAATGGCCTGTCTCTTCTGAGTATCCAAGTTAGATTTCGGGCATATCAGTAAATACTAACATTTCCTTAAAGTATACATAATGCTATAAAGACCTTCACCTTCTGCCAAAGTTTGAAAAGGTTAAAAGGGGGAAAAATACCATTCACCCACCTTTCAATGTCAATCCACTATCAGCCACACCGTCACTTATGTGTTTTCGGACTACATTCTTGACATCTTCCAGAGCTTGGGGAGCTAATGGAGTGTTGAAACAAATTCTCTAGCAAAAAACATAAAAATGAATTTAAAAACAAAATAGCATTAAAACCACAAACCATATAAAATGTTAATCTACCAAACAACATTAAATCAGTTGTAACCAAAAGAAACAAATTCTAAATTAGGACAATCTCCACCTTGCCTTATTTATTTAAAACCTATCATACACAGAAGGAAAGAAACCTTCCATACGCTTTCCACTGTGTTTCTTATACAGAGTTTTCCGTGTACCCATGTTATACAAACCAAGAAAGAAAAAAAAATAATTCAGAGTTCAGATTTCACATCATCTTTAATACACCCACTGTATACCATGAAATGACAATGTCAAGGAGTCCCCTCAATTCCTATGCATAGGAGAGCTTTATACCTCAGGTAAAGACTGAAATAGCTTGATGTGAAAGAGTTTTACGTGAAAGAGACACGTTTATCAACATAACATTACTGAAACCAGTAAGTTTTTTTATAGCTTTTCTCATCAACCCCCCACCCCCACCCCAAGATAGACAAATGCCTGAAGAATAGGGCTACCTGAAAGAAGTTGAGTTCAGCATCATTGAGAGTGCCATCATTATCTTGATCAGATATTTTAAATATACGGGTGAGGGCTTTTATACAGGCTGGTTTCATCTAAACGTCATTGAGAAAAGAAACAATTATGTTAATTAAAATAGTTGGGGGGGCGCCTCGGTGGCGCAGTCGGTTAAGCGTCCGACTTCAGCCAGGTCACGATCTCGCGGTCCGGGAGTTTGAGCCCCGCGTCGGGCTCTGGGCTGATGGCTCAGAGCCTGGAGCCTGTTTCCGATTCTGTGTCTCCCTCTCTCTCTGCCCCTCCCCTGTTCATGCTCTGTCTCTCTCTGTCCCAAAAATAAATAAACGTTGAAAAAAAAAAAAATAGTTGGGATTTCAGAGGCACAGTGTTCGGCTCCTGATTTTGGCTTACGTGATCTTGCATGATCTCGCATTTCACAGGTTCAAGCCCTGCATCAAGCTCCACGCTGACAGCACTGAGCCTGCTTGAGACTCTCTTTCTCCCTCTCTCTCAAAATAAACAGACAAACAAAAAAATAGCTGGGGGGCACCTGGGTGGTTCATTCAGTAGCATCTCACTTTAGCTCAGGTGAAAATCTCAGTTTGTGAGTTTGAGCCCCATATCCAGCTCTCTGCTATCAGCACAGAACCAGCTTTGGATCCTCTGTCCCCCTCTCCCTGCCCCTCTAGTTCTCTTTCTCTGTCAAAATAAATAAATAAAATTTAAAAAATTAAATGAAATAAAAAATAGTTGGGATTTCAAAATATGAATTTCATAAGCAATGTTAAGAATAGTTCTGACTGGGGCGCCTGGGTGACTCAGTCGGTTAAGCGCCCAACTTCAATTCAGGTCACGATCTCGTGGTCCGTGAGTTCGAGCCCTGCGTCGGGCTCTGGGCTGACCGCTCAGAGCCTGGAGCCTGTTTCAGATTCTGTGTCTCCCTCTCTCTGCCCCTCCCCTGTTCATGCTCTCTCTCTGTCTCAAAAATAAATAAATGTTAAAAAAAAAAAAAAAAGAATAGTTCTGATTGTTTTCACTATCAAACATATAACATCAAATACAACATGAAAAATGAACTGAAGCAAAACCATTAACTTTTATTTTTTATTTTATTAAAAAATTTTTTTCTTTAATGTTTATTTATTTTTGAGACAGAGGGAGACAGTGTGAGTGGGGGAGGGGCAGAGAGAGAGGGAGACACAGAATCCGAAACAGGCTCCAGGCTCCGAGCTGTCAGCACAGAGCCCGACGCAGGGCTCGAACTCACGGACTGCAAGATCATGACCTGAGCCGAAGTCGGACATTCAACCGACTGAGTCACCCAGGTGCCCCTAAACCATTAACTTTTATACTCAAAACTTTTTTAAGTAAATGAGGCACTATTTACTTAGACCAATATACACAGTGGTCAAATTCTGCCCCTCATGACCACAAATTCTCCAAGGATAAGCAAAAAAGAAGTTCATCTTTAGAGAGATTTATTTTTCCAGTCATATAGAAAAGAAATATTTATTTATGCCCTCCTTTGTTTCATAAAGACTTTGAATTGACTGGGGTGCCTGGGTGGCTCAGTCAGATAAGCATCTGACTCTTGGTTTCGGCTTGGGTCATGATGTCACGGTTCATGGGATGGAGCCCCACATCTGACTCTGCACTGACAGCATGGAGCCCACTTGGGATTCTCTCCATCTCTCTTTCTGCTTCTCCCCTGCTGTCTCTCTCTCTCTCTCTCAGAATAAATAAATAAATAAATAAATAAATAAATAAATAAATACTAATAATTAAAAAAAAGAATTTCGGGGTGCCTGGGTGGCTCAGTCGGTTAAGCGTCTGACTTCGGGTCAGGTCATGATCTCCTGGTTCATGGGTTCGAGCCCCACATTGGGCTCTTTGCTGACAGCTCAGAGCATGGAGCCTGCTTCAGATTCTGTGTCTCCCTCTTCCTCTGCCCCTCTCCTGCTCGCACTCTGTCTCTCTCACTCAAAAGTAAAATAAACATTAAAAAAAATTTTTTAATAAAAAATAAAAAGAAAGAATATGAAGTCACTTATAAGGGCTTTCCTTCCCAACTTCTGATTTTTCCCCCAACTTTACTGAGGTATAACCAATTTCTGATTTTTGACCAATCTTCTGGTAGAAGAATGGGACTAAAGTTTTGGTCACGTGTGTGTGTGTGTGTGTGTGTGTGTGTGTGTGTGTGTGTATCAAAGTTGGGAATTAAGTGTACTTATTCACAAAGAGGTGGCAAAACAGCACTGGTTAGAAGCATAAAGGCTTTTATTAACTTCTTACCAGAATTACATTTAAAATAGAAATCTTGCCTTTTGTGACTCTGTAAAACTTTTATAAGTAATGATGCTAGAGACATATTTTGACAACTTCCTTAATTTTGTTTTAGGATTTATAATGGATAGAACAAATACTTTACTATTTAAAAAATAAGGCCCACAGGCTTCTAATTTGTATAATTGCTGTAAGATAAGCGCTGTCAACAATTTTGAGAAAATGGAACTTTCAGGAAGATCTCTAAACGTTGTGTTAACCCGGAAGGAGATCTCTTATGGACAGTCTGAATCTGAGAAATGAAGATGGCAAGGTGAGGAAATGTGTACTTATTAACTGCAATCATGCTATCCAGAACAAACAGTAATGATGAGTTTTGATCATGCTATCAAACTCAAATGCAGAAAAGAAATTCTTTTAAAAATAGGAAACGGGGCACTTGGGTGGCTCAGTTGGTTGAGCATCCGACTTCAGGTCAGATCACGATCTCACAGTCCGTGGGTTCGAGCCCCGTGTTGAGTTCTGTGCTGACAGCTCAGACCCTGGAGCCTGCTTTGGATTCTGTGTCTCTCTCTTTCTCTGCCCCTCCTCCACTCATATTCATTCTCTCTCTCTCTCTCTCTCTCTCTCTCTCTCTCAAAAGTGAATAAACACATTAAACAAAAATTTTTTAAAAATAAATAAAAATAAAAATAGAAAACAGATGGAGCACCTGGGTGGCTCAGTTGGTTGAGCAACTGACTCTGATTTTGGCTCAGGTCATGATCCCAAGGTTGAGGGATTGAGCCCCACATTAGGCTCCAAGCTGAGCACAGAGCCTGCTTAAGATTCTCTCTCTCCCTCTGCCCCTCTCCCTAGCTCCTGCATGCTCGCTCCCTTAAAAAAGAAAAAAAAAAAAAGGAAACAGTTTTCTTCCTAAGCATATATAGACAACACTTCTTTTTTTTGTTTTAAATAGGGTCTCTACGGGGCAGCTGGGTGGCTTTCATGAATCTCACAGTTGGTGAGTTCGAGCCCTGCGTTGGGCTCTGGGCTGATAGCTCAGAGCCTGGAGCCTGCTTTGGATTCTGTGTCTCCCTCTCTCTCTGCACCTCCCCCACTCATGCTGTCTCTGTCTATCAAATGTATAAATAAACATTAAAAAAAATAGGGTCTTTAGGAGAGCAATTTAATATGAGAAAAAGATAAAACCTAAGATATAAAGAGAATATAAAGAACTGAGAAAAGTTAAGTAAAAAATTTAGAAAGCATTCATAGGGCTTCCTCTGTAAGCATACTAAATGAGCCATACCTAGAACATCTACAATCATGGGTGAGTTTTTACTTAAAATGGTAAGATATAACTTCTATAAATGTGATCCTAATATTAGATACTCAGAATTAATAAAGACTCCATTGTTATACTTTATTTACTTTCCTTTTAAAAATCTGTTACATAATAACCTAAATGTTTAAAAAAGTAGCAATACCTAGAAAGATGTAAAAAACAGAAAAGTAACTTTTTATTTTGTTTTTCCTCACATCATAAAAAGCTACATTAAAAAAAGGTAATTTGGAGAAAAATAAAATGATGCATTTTTCATTAAAATTTGAAATGCATCAGAAACTAAAGTGGTCTAAGGTATTCGCTCAATACAACATTTAAATAATAACTACCTTAAAATATAAGCCAAAATATGACTATGCTTACAAGGTATTAAAAATTGCATTCAATAAAGCTGTAAAAATTTTTTACAATAAAAATTTGTTTGCATATAAGTAATTGAAACCCTCACAGAGTAAACCTTATTATTATACAAGTCACATCTTCTTCATTATTAGCTAAGTAGAGGATTCCATGGGCCATACAGAGTCCATCATCACTGGAATTATTTTTGAATTAATAATCAGGCTTTAATTTTGAATATTTTTTTTGATGATTCCACCTCAAATCTGCATTAAAAGTTTATTATTTTGGGGGCCCCTGGCTGGCTCAGTTGATAGAGCACGCAACCCTTAATCTCAGGATCGTGAGTTTGAGCCTCGCGCTGGGTATAGACCTTACTTTAAAAAAAAAAAAAAAAAAAAAGTTATTATTGTGTAAATAAAAGGTTCTGGTACAAGCTTAGACACTAAACTTATACTTGTCTAAAACAAGGTTTAGTCTCTAAAAGTTACAGATTTTAGGTCAGGTAGGTCCACCTGAGAAACAAAGAACAGATGGTGGTAGGTGTTTTACTTTTATGGGACCAGGGGAGGGACAGGGGCGATTAGCAGATTAGCAGAACTAATAATAGGCCTAGGGAAAAAGTAGCAGTTAAAGCACTGAGAACAAACTAGGAGAGGAGATTTAATGTACCACTGGGCCTGGGCCTCAGGTAAATCTCCACAGGATGAGACTGTTTCCCAAATTTCCTTGATCACAGGATGTGGTACCTGGCAGAATCACAATGGAACTGGTGTTTGTAACAAGTGTGCCTAGTGACTATTATGAAGCAAATCAAGTATATACTGGACTAAGAATAAATTAGAAAGAAACATTCCAATTATGGAACAAGAATTAAGGAAGAGTAAATCAGGGTCGGATTAAGGGATAACTCAGATTAATTACTAATACCAGGGGTCAGCATTTTTCTGTGAAGAGGCACATAACAAATGTTTTAGGCTTTGGGGGCCAACAGGCAAAATCAAGAAGATCATGTAGGTATAAGGGAGAATCAAATTTCCACAAAGGTTTAATTGACAGAATTCAAAATGTAATAATAATGGAGTATAAATTTGCTATATAGATCTACTAATAAAAAAAATGGAATTCTTTTTGGAGGAGTAACATTTCGCTTAATTAGGGTTCAAAGTTAGTGTTCTCTATCGTGAAAACTGAACATGTTCATCTGTTAATGCTGATCTGTAATGAGATTTTACATATTTCCTCTTTGAAAAATCATTTTGTGGATACATGCAGACAATACTGACACACATCCGTAAACATGTAATTTTAATCAACCACATTCACTGCTTGGAAGGCGTTTATAAAATCAGATTCTTTTCTTGATATCTGCCTGTTAGCATGTCATTACACTGTAGATTAGCCAGTCCCAATGGAAGGTTAGGGGAAGGGCCTCCGGTGTACAGTCAGATGGGTTACAAAACAGGAAACTTCCTTCACGTTTTCATCACAGTCCCCCGAAAACCGATGTTGGAACTGTGGTCTGAGCTCAGAAAACATATCTGCTTTGACATCTAAAACTCCAACTGTTTCTTCTCCTGTTTTGGCGTGATAGGTATGCACCGGCAATTAAAAAATGAAGTGCTATGGTACTGTGGCACACATGGGACTCAGGCCATAGAGTTCCACCTGTTCAGTGCGCTCAGCAGTCCGCCAAGCAGATGAGGAGTGACAAGTACCCACACCCGGGCCCCGCTGCAACCGCTCAACTCTGCCTTTGCAGCACAAAAGCAGTCACGGACAAACATAAAGGAATGAGCGCGGCTGGGCTGCAACAACATCTGATTTATGAATGAGGAGATCTGAGAGTTGTATAATTTTTCCGTATCACAAAATATTATTCCTTTGGATTTTTTTTTCAGTCATTGAAAAATGTGTAATATCTATATTCTTGGCTCACAGGCTATATAAAAATTGGTGGCAGGCCACGTTAGGTCAAAGTCAGCCAACCACTCACCTATACTATAAACTTTTACTGGAAAAAAATCTACAACTTTTGATTTCTTGAAAGTCAACAATAAAAAGGCAGCACCAAAAAAAAAAAAAAAAAAAGCAACTCAATTAAGATATGGGCAAAAGACTTTGTCATTTCTCCATATACAAGTAGCCAATAAGCACATGTTCAACATCATTAGCCATCAGGGAAATGCAAATCAAAATGCCAACAACCACTAGGGTGGCTATAACAAACCACTAAAAAAAAATAAAAAGGATTGGTATGGCAAAGATGGGGAGAGATTGGAACCTGCCATTCAGTTTGGTGATTCCTCAATAAACTAAACAGAACTACCATGTAACCTAACAATTCCACTGCTAATATGCACTCAAAAGAAATGAAAACAAGTATTCAAACTTTTGTATGAATGTTAACAACTGCTCTATCCACTATAATCAAAAAGTAGAAAAAACCCAAACGCTAATCAACAGATTAATGAATAAACAAAATGTGGAATATCCATACAAGGAAATATTATTTGTCCATAAAAAGAAATGAAATACTGATCCACGCTACAACATGGATGTATGTTGAAAACACGTGAAGTGAAAGAAGCCAGACGCAAAACACTACCTATTGCATGATTCCATTTAAAATGTCCAGAATTGGCAAATCCATAGAGATAAAAAGTAGATTAGTGGTTGCCAAAGGTTGGGGAAAGGGGGAATGGTAGTAACTGCTAATGGTACATCCCTTCTTAGGATGGTGAAATGTTCTGGAATTAGATAATGGTGACAGATGTATAAATGTGAATATACTAGCAATCGCTAATCTGTATGCTTTATTTTTAATGTTTGTTTATTTATTTTTAACAGAGAGAGTACATGCAAGAGGGGTAAGGGGTAGAGAGAGAATCCCAAGCAGGCTCTGTACTGTCAGTGCAGAGCCCAATACAGGGATCGATCCCAGAAATCAACCATGAGATCATGACTGAGCCGAAATCAAGAGTCAGGTGTTTAACTGACTGAGCCACCCAGGCACCCCAAACTGTACACTTAAAAAGGGTGAATTTTAAGGTATGTGAGTTATATCTCAATAAAAGTTAATTTTAGGGTCGCCTGGGTGGCTCAGTCGGTTGAGCGTCCGACTTTGGCTCAGGTCATGATCTCGCGGTCTGTGGGTTCAAGCCCCACGTCAGGCTCTGTGCTGACAGCTCAGAGCCTGGAGCCTGTTTCAGATTCTGTGTCTCCCTCTCTCTCTGCCCCTCCCCCACTTGCGCTCTGTCTCAAAAATAAATAAACATTAAAAAAAATAAAAGTTAATTTTAAAAGTCTATGGCATGGGAATGTAAGCTGGTGCGGCCACTCTGGAAAACACTATGGAGGTTCCTCAAAAAACTAAAAATAGAACTACCCTACCAACCAGCAATTGCACAACTAGGCATTTATCCAAGGGATACAGGTGTGCTGTTTTGGTTTTTTTTTAAGGCTTATTTATTTCTGAGACAGAGAGAGACAGAGCATGAGTGGGGGAGAGGCAGAGAGGGAGGGAGACACAGAATCTGAAGCAGGCTCCAGGCTCTGAGCTGTCCGCACAGAGCCAGACGCGGGGCCTGAACTCACCAACTGTGAGATCATGACCTGAGCCGAAGACGGTTGCTCAACCGACTGAGGCACCCCAGACAGGTATGCTGTTTCGAAGGGACACATGCACCCTATGTTTATAGCAGCACTATCAACAATAGCCAAAGTATGGAAAGAGCCCAAACGTCCATTGATGGATGAATGGATAAAGATGTGGTATATATATATACAATGGAGTATTACTCGGCAATCAAAAAGAATGAAATCTTGCCATTTGCAACTATGTGGATGGAACTGGAGAGTATTATGCTAAGTGAAATTAGTCAGAGAAAGACAAAAATCCTATGACTTCACTCATATGAGGACTTTAAGAGACAAAACAGATGAACATAGGGAAGGGAAACAAAAACAATATAAAAACAGGGAGGGGAACAAAACAGAAGAGACTCATAAATACGGAGAACAAACTGAGGGTTACGAGAGGGGGTGTGGGAGGGGGGATGGGCTAAATGGGTAAGGGGCACTAAGGAATCTACTCCTGAAATCATTGTTGCGCTATATGCTAATTTGGATGTAAATTTAAAAAAGTTAAAAATAAAATTAAAAATTAAAAAAAAGAAAGAAAAAAGAAAAAAGGTCTATGGCAAATAGCTACAGAGGATTAAGAGCACACTTATCACGATGAGCCCTGAGTAATGTCCAGAACTGTAGAATCACTATATTGTACACCTAAAACTAATACAACATTGTATGTTAATTATACTGGAATTAAAAAACAATTTTTTAAAAAGACAAAGAAAAAAGTCTATGGCAAATATTGTTAAATTTTAGATATTACTGTGTTTCTTAGCTATGAAACAAAAAGGAGTATTCGAGTTGTATTACATGCTGTACCTATGTCAAATTACTACACAAGGCTTTCGTTTGTATGTGTTTTTAAGTTTGTGAACTTTATCCAAGCAAAGCAAGTAGACCATTACTTAAGTCTTTGGACTTTCTGCTGTTATTGTTGCCAATTATTTGGTTTGTTTTAATGACATCTCCTGAAATACTATTTGATCTGGAATATTATTCACAGTATTTAACATGAATGCCTTTGAAGTACCTAGAAAATGTAACTGTTTGAGAGACAATAAATTTAGATTTCAGCAGTTCAGAAGAAGACTTAAGAGTTACTAAAAAATCATCACTACTAGAGTTACCACCTACACGTTCCAGCCCCTACTAACATAGCCTGGGGGTGATGGGGTTACCTCCTTCTCCTCTGGGCAGTACAGAGGCCCTGTAGGATGCAGAACAGCTTTCTGTGCATAATAAAAGAGCTCTGATATATTCTTCAGGTTTTTTGCTGAACACTGAAAAGAAAGTTAAAAATTTTATACTCTGAAAGCAGTTATGGGAGTTAAAGACAATTTTTAATCAATATAAAGTAATAATAAGATTGCCTGAAGAAACTGAAAACTACATCTTTCTTTGCTGATATCACAACAGTAATGTCTACAAGAACACAGCGGCCATTTCCAAGTCATCTGTTTTATCTGGTTTACATGACTTCACAAACAGCAGGTAATTTACTCCATCCCCTACCTTCCCACATCTGATTTTAAACCTCAGTTTAGCGAGAATTCACTAGTAAATTTCAAAATCAAACGGTAATGCATACCTCCACACAGGTTTCTATTTCTGTGTACTGGTTCATAATGGGAAGGATGGTCTCCATACTACTGTATTCCACCAGATCGGATTTGTTCCCAACCAGTATCAAAGGCAGCCTGAAATAAACAGGATATGTTGTAACAATAAGGAAGGCAAAAGACCTTAAATATCCATTTTAAAGTACATAAACTCATTCTAACTAATAAGCTTTACTTAATCCCCCCAACACGAACCTTCTACTGTAGTCAGCTCTGGTCCCCTAGAGAGCATGTTCATATTCAACAAGTATTTACTCAGTACTTTTTTTTCAAAAATCTTTAGGTTCATTTATTTTCTTTAGTAAATTCTACACCCAACTCACAACCCTGAGATTAAGAGTCACGAGCTCTTCCAACTGAACCATCCAGGTGCTAAGCACTTATTAAAAGCCAAGTTACCATTCTAAGCATTCAGGATATAAGATAGACAAAGTCCCTGCCCATTCTAATAGCGAAAATCAGAAAATGGACAATAAGCAAATAAACAATATACTTCCAATTCCGTAAGTGCTATGAAGAAAATAAACAGGGGAATATGGGACAGAGTAATTGAAGGGGGCTAATTATATAGGAATCAGGGAGAAATCTCTCTGATAAGGTGGTATTTGAGCCAAGGAGTGAAGGATGAAATGGAATGTGCCCTGTGAAGAGCCAGAAAAGAACTGTTCAGGAAGAAAGCACAGCACATGCATAGAGCTCAAATTGAAAAAACATCCTTGTGAGTCCAAAGAACAGAAAAACAGAAAGAAAAATGGCAGAGTGGCTGGACAGTACTAAGCGAAGGGAAAGAGGTGTGACATGGGGTTGGAAAGAGGAACAAAGGACATACACATAAGCTGTGGTGAGGAGTGTGCATTTTTTTATAAGTTTAAAAATGAGAAGCCACTGAAGAATTATGAGTAGGGGAACAACATGATCTGATCATTTTAAAATGAGTCATATATTGTCCTTTAGAGATACATACTGAAATATTTACAGTATGATTTGTTCAAAATGATCCCAATGGGAGGGGTAATAAGCGAAACAAGATGGGTCATGAATTGGTAACCGTTGAAGTGGGATGACAGATACAGAGGGATTCTTTAGACGATTCTACTTTTGTGTGTTTGACTTTTTCCAGTAATAAAAAGTCTTTAAAATGTGGTTGGATTTTAAAAAGCTTGGATTAGAGCAGTGAAGATGGAGAGAAAGTATTCAGATTTGAGATATGTTTTAGAAGCAGAACTGATAGGAGCAACTGGTAGATTAGATATGGAGGTGGAAGGCAAGGCAGGAAATCAGGAAAAATACATAGGTTTTTGGCTGGACAAAATGAGTAGATCTCCTGAGACAGAAAAGATTCGTTTGGGGGTGAGGTAGGGAGTAGGCAGGGAATTAAGGATTTTGTTTTAGACAAGTTAAATTTGACAGGCCTATCAGAAATCTAAATGGGGACTATCAAAGAGAGTCTAGCAGGGAACTGTTATTTGTACGTCCTGCAAGAGAGCTTGGAAAGAAAGCAAATCATCTTGCTGAAACTCCAAATAGCAGGAGAAATTCTTGCAAGCATTTATTTACCCCCCTAGTATGGTTATGCAAAAGGGGACTGGCCCATTATATAATCCAAATATAGATTCCTAACAGCCAGGAGGTTTCCAAAGGTAGTGGTTTGCAACTGAAGGGGAGCTCAGAATAGTTTATGGAGCTTAAAAAAAATACACATGTCCATGGGGCGCCTGGGTGGTGCAGTCGGTTAAGCGTCCGACTTCAGCCAGGTCACGATCTCGCGGTCCGTGAGTTCGAGCCCCGCGTCAGGCTCTGGGCTGATGGCTCAGAGCCTGGAGCCTGTTTCCGATTCTGTGTCTCCCTCTCTCTCTGCCCCTCCCCCGTTCATGCTCTGTCTCTCTCTGTCCCAAAAAAAATAAATAAATAAACGTTGAAAAAAAAAAATTAAAAAAAAAAAAATACACATGTCCAAGCCCTACTCCAAACCTACAGATCCTAAAACTCTAGGGGTGGGGCAAAGGCACATGTAGGCTTTGAAAGTACCTCAGGTGACAGTGATTAAGTGATTAAGAACCACTGTGACAACAGCCCAAGGAAATCCTAAGGAAAAATATATGTGCAACAAACAAAAACTTAAGGTATGAGGCTCAGGAAAGAAGTTACCGGGAAAGTGTAAGGTCCAAAAATGAAGACACAGATCACCTTGGGACAAGTCAACCACAAGAAAAGTAAGTATGCTCATATGATTCAGGGAGGGGGAAAAAAACAGCCACACCTGAGAAAGCCCAATTCAATCTTCAAATGGTAAAAAAGCTCCTTTCCCAGCAGGGCTACAAAACTAGTCACAGAATTTCAGGAAGCTGTCCTAGTAAAACTAATTTTTTTTAATTCAGTGGTCCAATACAGTGCTTGACAGATCCCAGAAAAAATGCCTCCTCTGAAGAGTTGCCTCTGGAAACAGCTCACGTGTTCAGCAAGAAAAGCAAGTGTCAGGAGCATAAGGCCGTGGGCTCCTCCAAGGCAGCCCTCTCTGACACACCCTTCCGTGTTGACGGCAATGATATTTACCTGTACTGTCTATTACTGTAACCACCAGCCACAAGTGACAAGAGTCTACCACACTGGACACTAGCTCCACAGGGCCATTCTCCCCTTTTCACCTCGTTAAGAAGTCACTACAAAGTTTACAGCTACGGGGGCACCTGGGTGGCTCAGTCAGTTGAGTGTCTGACTCTTGATTTCGGCTCAGGTCACGATCTCACAGTCATGGGATCGAGCATCAAGTTGGCTCTGTGCTGAAAGCTCGGAGCCTGCTTGGTGTTATCTCTCTCCTCTCTCTCTGCCTCTCCCCTGCTCACACTCGCGTGTGTTTTTTCTCTCTCAAAATAAATAAGCATTAAAAAAACAACGACAGAGTTTACAGCTATAACAAAGAGGAGCCATCAGAGCTGCAAGACACAGCATATACACAATGCCATCGCAGTCACAAAGTCTGCCTCTGTAAATATATGAGGCAAGGTCAATGACCATGTTCATCTGTTTAGAACCACATCTTTATAGTTTCAAGGCACAAAAATGTCCAACCAAAAGAGAAATCTGATTTTCCTAATGTTTAAAAATACTCAAACGCTTCATAAATAACATGTTCAATTGATTAATACTGAAAGAAAAATTTTTGATTTCCATTTTCACTTAAAACTGAAAACATCTATACCCAAAACTATCATTCTGCTCAGAAAAATACAGAAGGTGTGCTCTCTTACTTTTTCCCATCACGCATATATCTTCCAAAGAATTTCAAAGAAATCTCCCTGTATGAATTCCTAAATAAAGATCTCTAGGGCGCCTGGGTGGCTCAGTCAGTTAAGTGTCCGACTTTGGCTCAGGCCATGATCTCACCGTCTGTGAGTTCGAGCCCTGCATCCAGCTCTGTGCTGATAGCTCAGAGCCTGGAGCCTGCTTTGGATTCTGTGCCTCCCTCTCTTTCTGCCCCTCCCCTACTCATGCTGTCTCTGTCTCAAAATAAATAAAAACACTAAAAAAAAAATTTTTTTTTTAAAGTGGAAGGTTTACAGCTGTTCTCTGTACTATTTCTTGCAACGTTTCTCTCAAGTTTGAAAATTTTCAATATAGCAAGTTGCAGAGGAAAAAAAAAATACCTGCTGTCTTTGTCCGTTCTTTCATTTATGAGAGGAATCCATCGACTTGTTACCTAAAAAAAAATTAACAAGAGCTAAACCATGATGTGGCTCTTCTCTGAAAAATACTCTGTCCTTGGACCCCTAAAACTCTAAGCTGAGGATCAGTTTTATTTTTTATTGGGGCGCCGGGACCAATGATCACCCGCTGCCTGGGTACCAAAAAATTTTGCTTCTGAAATCTCTTGATGTCTATTCTGTACGAAGAGCAATGGAGCTGCCCTACGTGTGCCACTCACAACAGAAGCCCTTTTTTGAGGATCAATTTTAAAAGTGCCCTCACTGAAATTTAACTATAGTGAAAAAACTCACACATTCATACCTTATCAATAGAATGCTTGTTGTTAACAGCATAAACTATGCAGATGACATTAGCCTATAAGAGAATTTAAGAAATTAATGGCATTTTAAAATAATACAAATGTAAATGGTAACATTTAATTACCAACTAGATAATATATTTGGGCTAAAGGAAGAATAAATTTTGAAACCTAAAAAAACCCCAAAGTTAGCATGCTTCTAAGAGGAACAATTCCTAAGGACTTATAGCAAAAAAACATACTCAAAGCAGTCACAACAAAGAATTGAAAGAGCCTAAGTGAGAGAATGAAAAAGACAAGACACAGAATCATCGATGTTTTCCCACACAAAAACCTGCAACTATTTTTTTTTAACTCACCTGTGATATCTCTTGATGAAGCTGTTCATCACTCTGTTCTGCTTCTACAAATGACAAAGTCAAAAAACGTCCATTATTTTAAACATTTTCATAAAAACGAATGACGAAGCTAACATCTACACGGCACCCGCCCAATATCCTTCATCCCTCGTGTCATCTACGCAGTGTAGTGCCAGATGAGGTGGCAAAGACAAGGGCAAGCCAGAGAAAGGAAAGAGCTGGGCTATGATAAGGAAGCTGGCTGGCACTGAAAGACAAGTCTAGCAGAGGATAACTCAGACACTCGAGAGCAGAAGGCATTGTGTGATAAATCTAGGCCAGCATCTGATCCAGAGTTGAGAAGGGTCAGGCCAAAGAGATCAGAAACCCAAGCTAGAAGACTAGGTGGAGGAGTCAGAAGCCCAGACAAAGAGTCCATACACACAGGGTCAGAAGGCCAGGTGAGAATCTGGGCAATACAAGCTAGGGAGCAGGCCCCAGAAGCAAAACTGGAGCATGATAATAAATAAAGAGTTCAGAATTCCCTTTCTAGCATATTATCTCTGGCTGGAACAGGTCTAATGGTAGATGTGCATATAACCCCATAGTGCAGTTATACCACCCTTACAAACAGATTTTAATTTTTAGAGCAGTTTTAAATGCATAGCAAAATTGAGTGGAAGGTACAGAGATTACCTATATACCTCCTGACCCCACATAGCTTCCCACATTATGAATATTCCCCATCAGAGTGGGACATCTATTAATGGACTCCCTTTTTTATTTATGGGTTTTTTTTTTAAGTTTTTATTTATTTAAAAAAAAAATTTTTTTTTTCAACGTTTATTTATTTTTGGGACAGAGAGAGACAGAGCATGAACGGGGGAGGGGCAGAGAGAGAGGGAGACACAGAATCGGAAACAGGCTCCAGGCTCCGAGCCATCAGCCCAGAGCCTGACGCGGGGCTCGAACTCACGGACCGCGAGATCGTGACCTGGCTGAAGTCGGACGCTTAACCGACTGCGCCACCCAGGCGCCCCTTAAGTTTTTATTTTTAAGTAATCTCTACACCCAACATAGGGCTTGAACTCACAACCTCGAGATCAAGAGAGTCACGCGCTCCAGTGACGGAGTCAGCTGGGCACTGCTCCTTTTTTTTTTTTTAAAAGAAGTCCTAAAGCAAGCAAAATAATTTAGTGATTAAATAGTAAGTACTAGAGTAAGTAGTAGAGTAAATAGAGTAAGTACTAGAGTAAATAGTAAGTAGGCACCTGGGTAGCTCAGTCGGTTAAGCATCTGACTTCGGCTCAGGTCATGATCTCACAGTTCATGAGTTCAAGCCTCATGTTGGGCTCTGTGCTGATCACTCAGAGCCTGGAGCTGCTTCAGATTCTATGTTTCCCTCTCTCTGCCCCTCCCCAATTCATGCTCTGCTCTCTCTCTCTCAAAAATAAACATTAAAAAAAAAAAAAGGTAAGTACTAGGGATGCCTGGGTGGCTCCCTTAGTTAAGCGTCTGACTTCAGCTCAGGTCATGATCTCAGGGTTCATGAGTTTGAGCCCCATATCAGGCTCTGGGCTGACAGCTTGGAGCCTGCTTTGGAGATCCTCTGTCCCCGTCTCTCTCTGCCCCTTCCCAGCTTGTGTTCTCTCTCACTCTCAAAATAAATAAACAAACATTAAGAAAAAAAAAAAGAAACAAAAAAAAAGTAAGTACCAGTGGGTAGAAAATTTTTAAATTATTAAGTGATACAAATGTGCTTCTATTATCATATAATGTAAACAAGCTGACAACTGTTTTATCTATTATTTGGGGAAGGGAATAAAGGCTGATAAGTTAAAGAACGAATTTAGAACTCAACAAATTCTCAAATGCACAACTCTTTCTACATGCCTGATAACAAAACTAATTTAGAACTTACCTCTGCAAACAGGCCAATTCAAGGAGGGTAATGATTTAACTACTACTTGTCATTTGCCATCTCTCTCCTTCCTTTTCATTATTATGGAACCCAACTTAGTAAATTTGGGACAGACAACCGCAAGATGGAGGCTTTATGTGGAGTGTGAGGTGGGGGGAGATAAAAATGAGACAAGAGTCATAAATGATTATTTGCTGCTAGAGAAAAAGGAACACCTATCTTTGAACACTTTTTTGGAGGACTATTAAACTAACCCTACAGCGCCAGCCACAAGAGGATATTCATTACCTGAGTAATCTACGATGTGTGTTGGAACTCTCTCAGGGGTAACATCAGCTGGAATGGTAATTTCTTCTGCCCGTGGAGGAACCTTCATTAGCAAACAAATAAAGGAAAAAACCCTTTGGATATTATCAACCAAACTTGTTAACAGAGCATGTAAATTCATCTGTATTAGCCCCTTTCACCCATACCTGCCCTTTCAAGATTTATTACACTTTTAAATGCTTATTTTTTGTGCTTTACCAGAGTCAAGTATATACACGTATTTTTTTTTTTTTTTAATTCTTTTGAGAGACAGACACACACACACACAGAGTTCAAGTAGGGGAGGGGCAGAGAGAAAGACTGGAGACACAGAATCAGAAGTAGGCTCCAGGCTCCAAGCTGTCAGCACAAACCCAATGCGGGACTTGAACTTACGAGCCATGAGATCATGACCTGAGCAGAAGTTGGATGCTTAACCAACTGAGCCACCCATATGCCCTGGGATTCAAGTATATATTAAAAACTACGTGATAAAATATTTCTTTTAAAAAAGCATGTACAGGGGCGCCTGGGTGGCTCAGTCGGTTCAGCGTCCGACTTCGGCTCAGGTCATGATCTCACGGTCCGTGAGTTCAAGCCCCGCGTCAGGCTCTGTGCTGACAGCTCAGAGCCTGGAGCCTGTTTCAGATTCTGTGTCTCCCTCTCTCTCTGACCCTCCCCTGTTCATGCTCTCTCTCTCTGTCAAAAATAAATAAACGTTAAAAAAAAAATTTTTTTTAAAAAAAAAAAAGCATGTACATGCTACCTGTGTGGGCATAATGCATATTAAGGATACTTCAGATCTGATGCAGCCTAAAACAATACTTAAATTAATTTGGTGTTTCAAACATTTGTTTTTAAAATGCTGTTTTCATTCTATTTTGTTGAAAGTTTAAGATGCTATACAAACGAGGAACTATGTTAATCCAAAGCAATTCTCAAATAAAATAATGATCAAAATTCATTTCTTCTAGAAGATAACTGGCTACACAGGCCTTGCTTAATGAATCCATTTTTTAGAAAGACTATGATTTTTTAATACATTAAAAATGCTTTATCCACACCCAAGAGGACAGTGCTAAAATGACAAGTCTAAAGTAAGTTAAACAATCAGAGAAGACATTTAGGTATTATACTCTGAGTAATCATATGACAATATGTTTCATTTCACAAATTAAGTACTTACTTATTTAGCTATCTTACTTAAGAACAGAAAAAAGCAAAAGAAACAATGAATGGTCATGTGGTATTTGTAGCTGCTGAGAACACTACCGCATAATGTATCAAACTCCTGTCTGAACAGTGAATTTATGCATTTCTAACTAAACAAGAGTAAAAAAAAAAAAAGGGAAAAATGCAAATTGTGGAGCTAATAGTACCGACTATGTGAAGACACAGAATAAAGGAGAAATAATGTTCACCCCATTTGCATCAATAGCATTTCCCAAAACAAAATTCTAACTTTACATAAGGCCTTAGCCAGCAGTCCCTTATCCTGGAACTTCCAGAATATAAATAAATATATTGCAAGTAATAATAAAACCACCTTACTTTTGGTGGCACTCTACGATTATTAAGCAATTCTCATTTGAGACACAACAATCCTTTGAGTTTAGGTAAAGGTGGAATGAATTAATTTCTTCACCTGTAAAAATGATGCAATGGATAATATTAAAGATTCTCAAATACATGTGTCAGAATCCTAGTGGTTCTAATGCCTCAAAGACTGGAGAGTGTCAGATGGAAGGCAGGCAGGAAACCAGCAGACCTTTTACCCTTACTTCAAACTAAAGGAATACTCACCTGTTTTATATTTAAGAAAGGATTAACAGCTCAGATGATCTCTAATAATCCCTTCCAGCTCCCATTTTACAGATGAGACAACTAAGGCACAGAGATGAGAAACGTCTAGCCAAGATCAGAGTAGGAAAACAGGAGCACCTGATGGCTCAGTCCGTTAAGCATCCAACTCTTGATTTTTGGCTCAGGTCATGATCTCACGATTCGTGAGTTCAAGCCCCATGCTGGGCTCTGTGCTGATGGTATGGAGCCTGTTTGGGATTCTCTCTCCCTCTCTTTCTGCCCCTCCCCTGTTTGTGTGTGCACGAACATGCTTACTCTCTCTCTGTCCCTCTCTCTCTCAAAATAAACTGAAGGAAGGAAGGAAGGAAGGAAGGAAGGAAGGAAGGAAGGAAGGAA